TTCCATTTATATGAAAGGTCCAGGATAGGCAAATCTATAGAGAAAGAAAGGAATAAATGGTTACATAGGCCCTACAGAAAAGTAGATTAATGCTTTCCTAGGGTGTTGGTAGGTGATGGCTGAAGTACATGGGATTTCTTTTTGGAGTGATGAAAATGGTCTAAAATTGACTATATTTGTTGCACCTATAAAATTGACTATAATTGACTATAATTGTTCTATAACCACTGAATTACACATTATAAATGAGTGAATTATATGGGATATGAACTGTACCAAAATATCCTGGGGATCCCAGAGGTATAATTAATTTTTTTGTGGTGATTAAATAAATCAATCAAGTCAAATCTGAATTCCAAACTTACTGTTCTTATGAGGATGCAGTTAAAGACTTATGGAAGTCTGAACTCTTCAGGCTTTCCCAAGAAATACTCATTATAATACTTCACATTTATTGTTGTTTGCTATCAAAACTGTTATTAAAACAAAGCAGTAACAGCCAACTTTTTTTAGTGTTTCCAATAACATACTACTGAACTAGAACCTAAGCAAAGTCTCCTTGCTATATCTGTTCTAACTACCCATCCTTCTAATTTTAGTTACTGTAGGCTTATTTACCCCGGTGTTCCCAACCACTGGATATGCAATGTTATCCTTTAAAAGTTGTGGTAAAACATACATAAAATTTATAACAACCATTTAAGCATATGATTACTGGCATTAAGCACATTTACAGTGTCTGCTACCATCACCACTACCCAATTTCGTAACTTTTTCATCATCCTCAAAACTGTGCCCAGTCTCCATTACCCTCTCCCCTAGTCACTGGTAATCTCTAGTCTACTTTGTCTCTATGAATTTGCCTTTTCTAAGTACCTAATATAAGTGGAATCATACAATTTAATTTAACCTTTGGTGTCTAGTATTTTCACTTGTATTATGTTTAAAAGGTTCATCCACTTTGTGGCATCTATAGAATTCCATTCCTTTTATTTTTATTTTTTTTTTCAAATGAAGAGAACTTTAATGTTTTTTTTTTTTAAGATTTTTTTTTTTTTTAATAGAGGCATGTTTTTCTTTATTTATTTGTTTGCTTGTTTATACATGCACTGGGTATAGTCAGAAGCGCGGGAGGGTGAGAGAATTCACCAGAGCCAGAGCGGGGAGCAGAGCAGGCAGAAGGACCGAAGTACACTGCTGAGGGGAGCAGCGGGCGGCAGGAGAGGTCTGCGCACCATGTGGGACCCGCCTCTGGTGGCCGGGGAGCAGCTGGGGATTGAACCAGCACCGCAGAGGCCGCGGGCAGCTTCGCAACCCAGCGCTCTACCGCTGCGCCACTGGGGAGGCCCGAATTCCATTCCTTTTAAAGGATAAATAGTATTCCATTGCATGTGTACACCACATTTTGTTTATCCATTCATCTGCTGATGGGACACTTGGGTTGTCTCTACTGCTGGGTTATTGTGAATAATACTGCAATAAACATTGGCACATAAGCATCTGTTCAACTCCCTGCTCTCAACTGTCTTGGGTATTTACATAGAAGTGGAATTGCTAGATCATATGATAAAATTCTATGTTTAACTTTTTGAGAAAATGACAAACTTTTTTTTTACAGCAGCTGAACCATTTTGCATTCCCACCAGCAATGAGCAAGGGTTCCAAGTTCTCTACATCCTCACAAACACTTGTTATTTTCTATTTATTTATTCGTAATAGGCATCCTCATGAGAGCACAATGGTATCTCCTGTGCAATTTATTTTTAGTCTATTATCTGTAAATAAAAGTTTACCTTGTGTTGATTTCCATAATTATATATAACAGATACTTAAGAGATATAAACAAACACAAAGAAAACACTTAAATACCAATAAAATAAAGCACAGTGTTACAAAGATTTAAGTAAAATCAATTTTAAAAAAGATATCAAAGAGGACAAAAAATGGGGATACAAATCACAACTTGTAATCTATGTTGCTGATCTGGGACTAATTTTCAAAATACCAATGTTTTCTGTAAATAAAAATCATCACAAAACAAATAACAGCATCGTGATTTATAGAGATGACAGTGAAACAAACACTGGAGTTACTCCTAAAATAAAGCTTTTAAAAACACATTTATGGGCATCCCCTGTGGTGCAGCGGTTGAGCACTGGGTTGCGAAGCTGCCGGGGCCTTTGCAGCACCGTTCGATCCCCGGCTGCTCCCCAGCCACTGGAGGAGGGTCCCGCAGGCGCGCAGACCTCTCCTGCCGCCCGCTGCTCCCCTCAGCAGTGTACTTCAGTCCTTCTGCCTGCTCTGCTCCCCGCTCTGGCTCTGGTGAATCCTCTCACCCTCCCGCGCTTCTGACTGTACCCAGTGCTTGTATAAATAAATAAAAATAAATCTTAAAAAAAAACAAAAACATGATCTTTAAATAAATAAATAAATAAATAAAAACACATTTATTTCTGGGATATTCTAGTTCCCTGTCCACATTTAAAGATCAGTAAATTTGCAATCAAGCAGGTTTGACAACTTGTCCAAGACCACAAAGCAAATCTGTGGCATCAATTTGGGAAATAACAATTTTTGATTTCCAGGTTTAAGGTAAAAACTCATAATTTAATGCCCAGTAAGTCAAATGAAACACTAACAACAATTTCTACTCTCAGCATGTACACTAAAGCTTACCACTCCAACTACAATGACCAACAATTAACTCCTTGCCTGCATGACTTGACTGTAAAGTCAGAACTTTTCCTTCTCAGTAAGATCTAGTAACACTAAATCTCTTTCTTTGTCTCTCAAACCTTTTCATTGTTTGTTAAATTTTGGATGCTCAAAAGCAGGACGACCCTATTGTTACACAGACAAAGCCTATGTTGAAAGAAAATCTAAATGTTTTTTGACAACCGTGCTTAGATCAGAGGTAGAAACTGTTACCTCTTTCCTGCACCCCATATGCTAAACATGCTTACCCTTATCAATTTGATTTGATCTATCTTTTTTAGCCAAATATAAACGTACAAATTTGTATTTATAGTTTACCAAATGTATACTGAAATATGTGGAGATGAAATGACCCAATTGGATCTGCCTTGAAAATATTTCAGCCAAAGGGCCTCTCTGGTGGCGCAAGGGGTTAAGCACAGCACTAATATGCGGTCAACAGCCTCTTCAGCATGAGTTCAATCCCCAGCCAGGGAGCTGCCCACATGGCATAGCAGACCTCTCCTGTCTTGCTTGCTGCTCCCCTCAGCAGTGTATTTCAGTCAATCTGCCTATTCTGTTCCCCTCTGTCTCTGGTGAATCCTCTCATACCCCGCATCTCTGGCCTGTATCCCAGCTCTCGTATGCATAAATAAATAAATCTTTAAAAAAAAAAACCACTTCAGCCAAAAAGATAAACAGCTGGGACTACATCAAATTAAAGAGCTTCTGTACAAAAAAAAAAAAAAAAAAAGAGCTTCTGTACAGCAAAAGAGACAGTAACCAAAACAAAGAGACACCCCACCAACTGGGAGAAAATTTTTGCTGAAAACACTAATGATAAAGGACTGATCACAAATATCTACAAAGAGCTGATGAGACTCAACAAAAACAAAGTAAATAATCCAGTCAAAAAATGGGCAGAAGAGCTAAAAGGAACTTCTCCAAAGAGGAACTGCAAATGGCCAACAGGCATACGGAAAATGTTCAACATCACTTGTCATCAGGGAAATGCAAATCAAAACTACCATGAGATACCATCTTACACCAGTGAGAATGGCACATATTAAAAAAACTAGCAACAACAAATGTTGGTGAGGATGTGGAGAAAAAGGAACTCTCCTGCACTGCTGGTGGCAGTGCAAACCGGTCCAACCACTATGGAGAGCTGTGTGGAGATTCCTCAACCTGCTAAAGATGGAGCTTCCATATGATCCAGCAATACCACTCCTGGGTATTTACCCAAATGACACAGAAACATTAATTCAAAAGGGCACCTGCACCCCTATGTTTATAGCAGCACTATTTACAATAGCTAAGCTATGGAAACAACCCAAATGCCCAAAAATAAATGCCTGGATCAAGAAGATGTGGTACATATACACAATGGAATATTACTCAGCAATCAAAAAAGATAAACTCATGCAATTTGCTGCAACATGGATGGCGCTGGAAGAGATCATGCTCAGCGAAATAAGCCAGAAAGAAAAGGAAAAATGGTCTCACTCATAGCAGGAATTTATAAAACCTAAATAAGGGACCAGGAAAAAGAATAATTATAATAAAGTAAAAATCAAAATCAACAAGCACCTATAAACCAGAGACACAATGGGGAGTGGGGTGGGGTAGGGGGGAGTAGGATGAAAACAAGGCGGGGTGGGAACTGTCTGGACTATAACCACGACGAAAATGCATACATTGAGCAAAAATGAAAAACGATGTAAAAAATATATTAAACAAAAAATAAATTAAAAAAAATACTTCAGCCAAGTAAAAAGAAAAAGTATAGACGAAAACATTTGTGACAAATAATTAAAACTGCTGAACATGGGGATGGAGCATAGGGCTTTATTTCACCCTTCGAGCTAATTTTTGGCTAGTCTTTAAAGTTTTTCACAGTAACTTCATAAAATGAGTTATTTCCAAATAAGGTCACCGTCCTGGCTATTGAACACGAGTCGGCGCGCGTGAATGTTCTCGTCTTCCCAAGGAAAGCGGGCGAAGGGTCTGGAGGCGCGGCGGAGGGCGGCCGCGCCGCGCCCCGCGCGGGCCGCCAGCGCGCACGTTTCCCTCACGGCAGAATCTGACAAATCACTCGGGGCGCCCCGGGCTCCCCGGGCCAGCGGAGCTCAACTGGGAAGTGGCGCACGTGGGAACCCGGCAAACTCCGCCCGGGAGTTCCAAGGTCCCCCGTGGGGCCGTCCGCCCGCCCCGGCCCCCGCCCGCCCCGCGGCGCCCCGGACTCGTGGAGCCCCCGTCGCCGCCCCCGCGGGCCCCCGGCGCGCCTCGGCCCAGCCGCCGCCTACCGTCCAGGTCCTCGTCGTCCTCCGAGCTGCTCTCGGCGACCGCGTCGGCGACCAGGCCCGGGTCCGGCTCCAGACGCTGCGAGTCGGAAGGAGGGGCGGTGGGCGGGCTGGCGGCGCGGGCGCGGGCCTCGCGCAGCCGGGTGAAGTAGCTCACCGCGAAGTCGACGAGGTCGGGCGGCTGCTGCCGCAGAACCTCCACCGTGTAGCCCTGGAGCAGCTCCGTGAGCCCCGGCGGGATCTGAATGTGGCTCATGCCGGCGGCCGCGGCGAGCACAGGCGGGTCCGGGCCGCCGGCGGCCACTGCCTTCGCGCTGCCTCACGCCGGCCTCGCGCCCAGCGCCCGCGAGGTCTCACGCGCGATCCCGGGCGTGCCTTCCCCGCGCCCCAACGCCCCTCGGCCGAGTGTGCGTTTCCAGGCGGCTCGACCCTCGGCTACCACGGCCGGCCCGGAGCCGCCGCCGCTGTCACTGGGCAGCCGCCGCCGCCGCGGGGACCGACGAGCGGGCTGGTCGGACGGGCGGGGCGGGAGCTGGGTTGTGACGCACGCGGCAGAGGCGTGCGCGCCCCCGCCGAGCGCCGGCCCTCCGTGCGCGTGCGCCAGTGGGCGGCCGGCCCGCCCGGGGCGAGCCCTGCAGTCGAGGCCCCGGAGTGGAATCTGTGAATGAGGTTACGAGCCGTCTACGCGTAAGCGGCGTCGTTGGCGTCTCCCGACTCGTCTTGAAGACTTTTCGTTTGTTCTTCAACACACTCTAAAGAACTTGTTTGCCAGCACTGCTCGCACCAGAGACACGGCCAAGAGCCAGATGCAAACATAGTTACCACCCCAATGTGGCTCCAGCTGTGGTGGAAAGCAAGAGGATCTACTTTAGGGGGTGACAATCAAGCCGACTGGAAGGCCTGAGTAGGATCCAAACAGGAAGATTTGGAGAAAAGTCGCCTGGGGACAGAGGACGGCAAGAGTACAGGTCTGGTAGTCAGGACCACCCTGGTAGCTGGATAGAATCAGGGTATAACCAACAGTGGTACCCTCAGAAGTATGGCTGGAGGTCTATGAGATATATCAAACGGAGAAGATCTTGTAGGTGGTAAGAATTTCAGTGATACTGTAATTTGTAATTTGGGAGCCACAAACAGAGAAATAAGTCTGGAAGAACTCACTCAAGCTAAACCTATACAGAAAAGGGAATGAGGCCCAGGGCAGGAACTACCCGTGTTTTCCTCCTTTCCAGCTCTCCCACCAGGCATCCTGGTATTGGTCTGCACACCCCTTCTTTTCCCACACTCTACTGTGGGTCCTGAGCCAGCACTGCATGAATGTTGAGCTGACCACAAAGCGCTGTTATCCTCTGCCCCTGGCCAGAGGTAGGCTGTTTCCCAACTTGCCCTTCTCAGCCACACCAGATTGGAAGGGAACAGAAAAAGGTGGTAACTAGCTGGGATGCCACAGCCAAGGTGCTGACCAGAGTCCCAGTTGGCATAGGACAGAGTCCTCCCTCCTCTAGTCAGAGTGTAACTAGCTATAGGCTTGGGAACCTGAAAGGCATTTGGGACAGTTAAGCTCCACCTGGTAATTACCCAGTATTAATTAAAATCCTCACCAGGACCTGTCATATTGGCTTGGCACACACCCAGGAGCTCAGTGCTGCTGGGAACTGAGCGTCTGAAAGCAGAAGCAACCGATCCTTCCTGGCACAGAAGTCAGCCCAGGCTCTATGCCAGGTAGGCCTATGATTCCAAATGGCTATGTCTCCCTGAACAAATTCCTTGACCATTGGAAGGAGTCTTGGACCATCAACTTTGTGAGGGAAGGGGCATGTTCTCTGCTGGGTATTTATTGCAAACACTTGGAGAGTCTTACTGAATACATGAATGATAAATTTCTACATGGCAAGCAGTGTCACTGAAATTGCTCTCCTGATCCCACAGTCTCAGAACTAGTATCTTATGCTTCAAAGTTGTCCTCTTGATCTCAGAATATGAAGACTTAAGGACAGGCAGTGAGGGGTTGGAGGGACAGGGTTCCTATTTTCCTCTGTTCTTGGGAATATTAACCGTTCCAAGATTTCCAGGAGTCAGCCCATACCCAGGAAACATGGGTGTGACTTCCACTGCACCTCTGCACATAGAGAGCCATATCACTTGAAGCAATCCCACAACTAAACCTTTGGAAAGGCAAATTTACAACTCTTCTCTCTAGTCTGCCCATTTGTGAGGTTTCATGTTTTAAAGGTGGAAAGGCATCTGTACAGTTAGGACTCCAATTTCCATTACAAAATCAGGTAAAGGGGGTAAAATCCATACCCATTAAACAGTAAGTCATATAGTGATAAAGAAATGAAAATGAATCCATGTCAGGGCCTCCCTTGTGGCCTGGGGGTTAAGTCTCATTGCTACCACTGCAAAGATCCACTGCCATGGCCTGAGTTCTATCCCCTGCCAGGAAGCTAACCCACATGGCACAGCAGACCTCTCCTGTCTCACCCACTGCTCCCCTCAGCAATGTATTTCAGTAGATCCACCTGTTCTGCTCCCCACTCTATCTCTGGTGAATCCTCTCACTCCCTGCACCTCTGGCCTACACCCCAGTTCTTGTATGCAAAAATAAGGTGCGGGAGGTGAGAGGATTCACCAGAGACAGAGTGGGGAGCAGAACAGGCAGAGTGACTGAAATACACTGCTGAGGGGAGTAGTGGACGAGGCAGGAGAGGTCTATTGCGCCATGTGGGTCACCTCCCTGGCCTGGGATCGAACTTGTGCTGCAGTAGTCGCGGATAGCCTCATAGTGCTGACGCTTAACCTCTTGTGCCACCAGAGAGGGCCCAGTAAAAATAAATCTTTAAAAAAAAAAAAAGAAAATGAGTCCATGTCAAGGTTAGAAAGAGCATAGGTGATTCCAGTCTTAAAGAACTGTGGGGAAAGAACTATGGGTAGAGATAGTATGACTTCCCAGCAGAAATGGTGCTATGATTGCTTCTAAAGGCTGGCATTGCAACAACCAGCCCTCAGTCTTTCACCTTTGACCCAATTATACTCTTCTTTGTGCCTGGTGAGGCTATTAACAGCAGCTAGTTATTTTAAAAATCGCTGTCTGGCTTCTACTTAAGGCTGTCTGTGACAGAGAAATTGCTGAGGAGGGTCTAAATATCTCCCCATCCTCACCCCCAGCAGGGAAAAAAGACACACATCAGGAACAGGTGGCATTTCAAAGTGCATCATGAAAAGGAAGTGCCAGCCAGGAGGGAGTTACTCACAATCTGCTCTGCTCCCTTCACAAATATGCCTCCAGGGGCTTCCCTATTACTTAACATCTATTAAATACCTAAAGGAGTAAAGAATCTACCATCAGTAACATCAAAGAGCCAAAATATTCCATTTTAAAATGAAAGCTGCTTCAAAGGGCAAATTATCCAGAAGCAGAGACTTTAAAAGTGATTCTGAGCCATGGAAATAGCTGGCATATGGCTGGAATGCAAATGCACTCACAGGGGCTCCTGGGCAAAGGCCAAGGTTTCAGGACAGTCTCATAGACTGGTGCCAATAAAAGCTTCAGGAAACACATATGTAGCCATCAAAATTAGTAAGAGATTTAACAAAGACATCCTGTAGCATGACAGGGGACAGATGTCACACTAAATTAATCTTCCCAGGCAGAGGGCACACAATTTTCATCTCTAAAAAGTCTTATTTTTCACTTCACCATAATTCCTATCTGGTCATCAGGAAATATCTTCCCAGAAATAAAACTTTCTTCCTTAATCCCCAATTTTTCAGTTTCCTGCTAGGTTGGTCACACCCGTCCCAGATGGGGGCGAGTCCCTGCTCCTTTAGCCCAGTAACATAGAGTGATGGTTCTAAAGCCAAAGTCCAAGGGTTTCTGTGCATCTGCAGTAAGGGGGAAAGTGCCAACAGGACTGTAAATGTGTCTGCCAGAAGGCCAGTTCCAATAGTCTTGCAGTCTGCCAAGATTTGTGACTCTCCACTCTGACTTCCTCACCTCCTCTGGCACACCTGGGCCTCACCAGTCCATTAGTACAACCAGGCTGGCACATCAGACCACACAGCAACCCCAAAGCACATATTAACTCAGGACTGCTTTTGACCATTTAGAATAACTGACTCTACTACATCCATTAGTTCAGATGCCCACGGAGGGCTGTCATGCCAGGCTTGCACTGAGAGCTGTGGGAAGTTACCAATCAAGTCACCCCATCCCACCTCCTTTCCTTCAAGCTGCTGGAGTTGGGATGGTTAACAAAAGTTGGGCCAGCCAAAACTTCCTCCTCTTTCTCCTGCTGGTCTGAAATATCCAGGGAAGGGCACTGCATCCCTCTGGCCTCCGCCAAGGCCACAAGCTACCTCCTGAAATGCTTCAAAAGAAATACAAAAAAAATTGCACACAATGCAAAAATTAGAAATAATGTTTATTGTTTCCTGTTAAAATAAGGTGCTCTCATGAGAAAAGAATGTGCAAAAAAAAGAGCCTTCCTACACCCTGGGCTTTCTTACTTATTTCAGTAGACTGGGACTGTTGATTCAACTCTGTTCTCAGAGTAGGAGGGAAAACTCTCCAGGTACTCCTGGGAAATTGCGCTACACTAGTTTTAATTTTGATTGCCTGCATGCATTAAAAAAGACCCAGCCTGATTGTTAACAGGCTATCTGCACCTAGGCACATATGCTCAGTCGAGCTGGAAAGACAGATTCGAGTATGAAGTCTACAGCCCCATGAGCAGATCAGGACTAGGTGGCACCCTGGAAACTGGTGGATGTTCCTGGGTAGAGATCTAGTTCTTGGTCAGCTGGCTGAAAACATGCATAGTGTTTTCAGTGAGAGACTGAGGAGTATTTTGGGTGTAGTAGGGCTAGCGATCACTAGTAGCACTCTGGCCACAGGTGGAATTTGGTTTAGAAGCTACTTACTCCATATCCAAATTCTCCTGAGATCCCTTAAATTGACTAGAGTGAATTCAAGTTTCAAAATGGTACGCCAAGTTATACAAGGATGTCATTAAGGCAATGTTCTCTTCAAGTCCACAGAGCTGAGATCCCACCATCCCCCACCCCTCACCCTTCAGGACGGTTTAGTCCTGCCCACTGCTCCTCCTTGGTTACAGCTTCAAGCATCCAAAAGCTTCGCACCGCCTTCAGCCTCATAAGTTGGGGGCGGCCCAATTAAGAAACTTCATGGCAACTTCAAAGCCAAGGAAGCAGGCCTGAAAAGGGGTTGGAAGGAAGAGATAAGCTAGCAGAAGATGTGACTATTTACAGAGACCCCTAGCACCATGCCTGACTGGTCCTATAAGAACTCCTCCAGAACCTCACTTCCACCCAGATCAGAAAATCAAGTAGTGCTTTCTCATTTCTAAGAGGAGAACAAAATACATATCCCACAAATGCCCACTTATGACATGGTCAGGTCTGGAAATCAAAGCCTGTAGCCTCAGAGAATCCCAAGTTCAGATCATCCTAACAGCTTGAGGAATGGCAGCAAATAAGGAAGCTCTGGATGAGGACAGGATCTGGGAAAACTGGGTCCCTAATCCAATCCAAGGAGCAGATGAAAGTCAGTCTACCTGCACCCTAGTTCTGAGCCCTGAAAGGAAAGCACAATCCCTGCCAGCCACTTACCGCATTGGCTGGGAAGGCTCGGATCATCACAGCATTGAAGCCCTTGTACAAGGACGTGACTCCTTCATTCCGGATCAGCTCCCTCAGCACATCTTGGAAACCATTAGGATATTTCCCAGGAGGTGCTGTGGACAGAACCCAACTTTTAAGGCTTCAGGAAGTTTCTAATCTCACCATGATGACCCACACAGGGAAAACCTAAGTCTTTCTACAATGTAACAGCATCAGGAAGAGGACACCTTGCAAGTCATCTAGGAGCAGATCTCAGACAACATAGTTTGTTGTCAGATACAACATAGTTTGGGACAGATACAAATGCCTGGATTACTGGTGATGAGGATGGAGAAGGAAATAATCTTTCTGCTCATGTGGCAAAAGGAAAATGAATTTGACTTGTCATCTCAATTTATTTTGTATTTAGGCCAAGATGAAAATGAGTGTAGCGTTCCTAGAACACAAATGACTATGAGGGAGAATGCTGACCAGACAGATGCTGAGGGCTGCCACAGAAAATGTGTTTGCGGAGGGCCTTAAGAGCTCTCTACCCCAGGGGCAACCTGTTTAGGGACCTACTCCATCCCCACCCCTATCTACCCTACAATCCCCTCCACTCACCAGTCTGGAAGCGGGACTTGAGCACATCTGGAGGGATAGCCACAGCCCAGTTGAAGATTCCTGCAATGCCCCCAGCTGTGAGGATTCGAGGCACGCTGAGCTCATTGACACTGCAGAATACCAACCAGAGCCCCAGTCAGACAAAGGCTGCGAGACAGGCATCAGACCATCCCTCCTGTGTCAGACAAGGCAGTTACAGAGATGGAGAAACTAGCTGGAGGGAGGAGGTCCAAGGTCAGAGATCCTGTGACATGGCGGCTCCCACTCCTTGGAGAAGGTTTCAAGCACTCATTTCAAATACTTGCCTTATTGGGTGAGGCACAGAGTAAGCAATATTTGCTGGATATCAGCAGCAATGAAAGAAAAGTCTATATGGAGCCAGAAGCATGTCCTATTCTGCCTTCAGACCCACTCACAGGAAAGGGCAACCTACTCATGACTGGGCCAAGAGGTTTCTAAGTTCTTCTGTTTTCCTCACCTCTTTCCCTCTGGAGTGAAGATATTTTTCAACCACTCATATGTCATGAAATACATCCCACTTGCTGGAACATCTGTTAGTAGCAAGAAAGAGGTGAATTAAATGACATAAAGTTATATAGACTATATAAGTTCAGATTTCATTAATTTAGAAGAGCTACACTTGGCACTGGACCCTTCAAGGTATCCCAAGAAGTCCCTCAGCAGCACTTCCTATTTTCAGTAATTATTTTGCGTAGATCAGCTGCTGCTTGGGACATCTTTGGTGTGAATGAGAACAAACATACATGGCATATTTTCCCCAGACATACCCATTACAAGCAGTCATAACCACAGCTAGCATCTGAGCTCCGTATAAGGTGCATCTCAGAATAAGGCAGGGGCTATCCTCACTTTTCCTGAAGCCACCCCTGCAGGACATGCCTCTTAAAACAAGGGCAAGACTCGCTATTCCTAAGTCACTGTTTCTTCTCACTTATCCCTTCATTCAGTTTCTGTTTGCCACTCACCTCCAACTGCCACTGTCATGATTCCACCCCTGAGGATCAGCCTCACAGAAGGATGGAAGACCCCTTCACCTTCATTTGTGTCCACAGTGGCCAAAGCTGAGACAGCCTAAAACTGGACACACAATGCTAACCATGACAGAGCTGTGGCCTGTATAGTGCCAAGACTAGTCTGACAATTCAGGCCATCTCTGTAAGGCCATTGGTGATAGATACACCCCAAGTCCCATGATGACCTCAGGTAGAGGGTGTCAAAGGTTACCTCGCATAAGAGTGAGTACAGTTCCTTTGTAGATGCCTCGGATTCCAGACTCCTGATATAGCTTCTTTGCACAATCCATGGCACCAGTGTACTTAGTTTCCCCTGAAGAAGCCTGAATCTAAGAGAAGGGAGTCATCCAGTTGGCAATAGTAACATCAAAGTCAAAGACTCAGCAGGTTACAAAAGGTTATGAAGTGATGCAATGTATTATACATGAAAATAAGTATTTAGAAAGTGTAATATTGGTAGAAGTTGCGGTGAAATAAGACTTGGGCCTAACAGCCAAGAGTCTGAGGACAGCCAGGGCTAACACCAAATAATATAAGAAGGACACCCCTATGCAGGATCCACAGCAAAGAACTGTGTCAACAGGAATGTGAACACACAGGTGTGTAAACTAAAGAGTAATTAAAGTTGGAAAGGGAGTTCAGTTTTCACAGTTCCATGGAGAAACACTTAGAAATTAAACTGAAAGTCCAGTGATTTTCTTACATACTAGCAATAACAAGTTGAAAGATAATGAAAAAGAATCCCATTTAAAACAGCAATAAAAGGGCCTCCCCGGTGGCACAGCGGTTGAGCACTGGGTTGCGAAGATGCCCGTGGCCTCTGCAGTGCCGGTTCAAACCCCGGCTGCTCCCCTGCCACCAGAGGAGGGTCCCGCATGGCGCGCAGACCTCTCCTGCCGCCCACTGCTTCCCTTAGCAGTGTACTTCGGTCCTTCTCTCCGCTCTGACTCTGGTGAATCCTCTCACCCTCCTGCATTTCTGACTGTACCCAGTGCTTGTATAAATAAATAAATAAATAAATAAATAAATAAATAAATAAATAAATAAATAAATCTTTAAAAAATACAAAATAAAATAAAATAGCAATAAAATAATGTGCATCAAGAAATAGGATTTACATAAATAAAACTCCAAAACATCTCCAAAGAATATGAAAGAGGGGGCCTCCGGGCCTCCCTGGTGGCGCAGACAGTTGGGCGCCACGCTGGGAAGCTGTCTGCGGCCTCTGCAAGCCGGCGAGAATCCCACATGGCGAAGCAGACCTCTCCTGTCTTGCCCGCTGCTCCCCTCCGCGGTGTGTTTCAGCCAGTCTGCCTGTTCTGTTCCCTACTCTGTCTCTGGTGAATCCTCTCACTCCCCGCAACTCTGGCCTGTACCCCAGCTCTTGTATGCATAAATAAATATTTTTAAAAAAAGAATATAAAAGAGGAGTGAATAAAAAGTCATATTTCTGGTTGGGATAAGTTTCCAATTAAAAATATGACAATATTTCTAAAAATAATAAATCTAAGACAATGCCAATGGAATATTAATGGCTTCTTTTAAAATAACTCCCAAAATGATCATAGCATATATAAAGCCGGTATCTGAGGAATAATTATGAACACCCATGTGACTAGAAGAGGTTGAGCAGATTCACAGTGATGGAGGGAAAAAGGTGATGGGGGATGGGACTGACATATTAACAGAATCCTCTCACAGGCCTCCCTGGTGGCACAGGGGTTAAGACACAACCTATGAAGCTGTCTGCAGCCACTGCAGCACAAGTTCAATACCCAGCTGGCCAGAGAGCAACCCACATGGCACAGCAGACCTTTCCTGGCTTGCCCGCTGCTCCCCTCAGCAGTGTGCTTCAGTCAATCTGCCTGTTCTGTTCCCCATTCTGTCTATGGTGAATCCTCTCACCCCACCCCCATGCCTCTGGTCTGTACTCCAGCTCTTGTATGCATAAATAAATAAATCTTAAAAAAAAAAATCCTCTCACTCTTAAGTATAGAATGCAAGCAAGGAAACAAGTGAGGAAGCCCATATAGTCATCCAGCCCATAATGAAGGAGTCCTGGAGCAATGTAGCCGCAGTGTAGGTGATAAGAAGGAAGAGATTTGGGATACACTGAAAACCATTTTACCTGTTCAACAGATGGGATATGTACATTGAGGGAAAAGAAGAACCAAGGAGGTTTCCTGGGTTTTAGGGTTGAACAACTAGAAGGATGGCTGCCACCAACTGAGCTACAGAAAATATTATGTAGTGGGCCTCCCCGGTGGCGCAGCGGTTGAGTGCTGGGTTGCGAAGCTGCCCGCGGCCTCTGCGGCGCCGGTTCGATCCCCGGCTGCTCCCCGGCCACCGGAGGAGGGTCCCACATGGCGTGCAGACTTCTCCTGCCGCCCGCTGCTCCCCTCAGCAGTGTACTTCGGTCCTTCTGCCTGCTCTGCTCCCCGCTCTGGCTCTGGTGAATTCTCTCACCCTCCCGCGCTTCTGACTGTACCCAGTGCATGTATAAACAAAAAAAACAAACAAACCAGCAAACAAATAAATAAAGCATGCCTCTATAAAAAAAAAAAAAAAAAAAAAAAAAGAAAATATTATGTAGAGTAGACACTTCTAGAGGAAGACCAGGAGTTAAGGTTTTCACATAGTGACTTTGAAGTATCTACTATTATCCAAACAGAAATGTTGGATAAACTAGTCTGGAGTTCGCAAAAAGTCTAACTGGAGAAATATGAGAATCATTAGTATATAGATGGTATCTAAAAGTCATGAGACAAGGAGAAATGAGGGAAATGAGTAGTTCTTAGCCCTGTATACGTGGACATTAAAAGAATGAGAAGATGATAAGAAATTAACAAGAGACAGAGAGGGAGCAAGTAGGTAGGAGGAAAATCAGGAGAGAAGCCAAGTGAATATTGCATTTCAAGGAGGAAAAGGGATCAGCTGAGCCAAGCTGAATTAATGGATCAACAAAGATGAAGACCAAGAACTGAATACTGACAATATAAAGATAACTGGTGACCTTGACAAAAGCACTTTTGTTGGAGTTGTAAGGTAAATGCCAGATTAAAGTGGGTTTAACAATTAGAAAAGGGGAAATAGAGACAGTAAGCAGGAAAAAAAACTTTTTCAAGGAGTTTTGCTATAAAAGGGTGCAAAGACATGAAGCACAGAAATTGATAAAGAAAAAATAGAAAAGCATTTATTTTTAAGGTTAAAATACAAACATTTTATTTATTGATGCAAACAATTCAGTAGTGAGTAAAAACTGAGACTGAGGGAGAGAGAAGAGTTGTTGATGTGACATCTTTGGATACACAAGAGGGTAGGCTCCACTAGGCATGGGCCATCTGGGTGGAAACAAGCTGAGCAGCTGTGGACGCAGCAGCAGGGGCCGCTGGGAGAGTAGAGGCGGAGGGCATCTGGTGAAGTCCTCTTCTGGTGTTTTCTGTTTTCACAGTGAAGTAGGATACCTGATCATCCACTAAGAGGATGGGAATTGGAGAAGTGAGGAGAGATAAAAAGTGGTAATCACCTAGTAGAGTGGAGAAGTATGAGAAAAGAGTACAGATAGGGAATATCTCATGCAGAAGCAGAAAAGGACTCCCGGTATAAAGTAGACAGAACAGTAAAAGCCATGAGGGAAAAGACTGATGAACAAGGCTCCTGAAAACAAACATTCCCTAAGTCAAAATTAATAAATGGATTTCTGCTTCCAGAGGTACCTTTTCCTATTCTTCCTGTTAAGTATAACCAAAAAACCACAGACATTATTTTAATTACTTACTTTTTTTTTTTTAATAGAGGCATGTTTAATTTTATTTATTTGTTTGTTTGTTTTGTTTATACATGCACTGGGTACAGTCAGAAGCGCGGGAGGGTGAGAGAATTCACCAGAGCCAGAGCGGGGAGCAGAGCAGGCAGAAGGACCGAAGTACACTGCTGAGGGGAGCAGCGGGCGGCAGGAGAGGTCTGCGCGCCATGTGGGACTCTCCTCTGGTGGCCGGTGAGCAGCCGGGGATCGAACCGGCGCCGCAGAAGCTGCGGGCAGCTTCGCAACCCAGCGCTCAACCGCTGCGCCACCTGGGAGGCCCACAGACATTATTTTAAAAGCAAACACAGGAAGAATAAGTTTGGACAGAAGATGGCAGCCCAGGACTTGAGGCACGACATGGTGATTTTCTATTTGCTGTATCTCAGACTCGGAGCTGAAGAAACTGGCAACTCAGGAACACCAACAAGCACAGAACAAAAAAAGTTCTAACAAATGTCTGCATTTCTCTAGACAGAGAACCAGGAAAGGGACAGACTAGAAAGACAGAAAATCTTTAGAAAATAAATACCCTTGGTCAGCCAAACCCCACAAAAAAAAAAAAAAAAAAACTGTGGGCTCACCCCCATCTACGTCATCTTACACCTTCTACCTTTGTGAGACTGTAATAAGGCACCAAACATGCTGCTAGGGAAAAGGCAGGGAAGGCCAAGTAGGACTTCTATCTCTGATGGCTGGTAATGGTACCCTCCAGTCCCATGTGTCAGTGGAGTCACTGAAACTCCCTCATTGACCCAGTACAAAGTACCCCACACTTGGATGTTAACAGAGGCCCAGTTGGGAACTTAGACTTCTACTTCAACCTGGCAGTAACAAGGCAACATTCTTCCCTTCCCTGATGAAGCAGTATCAAAGAAGATCATTCAAAACAGAAAGTTTAGAGCCTCTCTGGTGGCACAAGGGGTTAAGCACCGCACTATGAAGCAATCTGAAGCCTTTGCAGCACGAGTTCCATCCCTGGTCAGCCAGGGAGAAACCCACATGGCGCAGTAGACCTCTCCTGTCTCACCCGCTGCTCCCTCAGCAGTGTATTGCAATCATTCTGCCTGTTCTGTTCCCCTCTCTGTCTCTGGTGAATCCTCTCACCCCCTGCACCTCTGGCCTATACCCCAGCTCTTGTATGCATAAATAAATAAATCTTTAAAAAAAACAACAGAAAGTTTAAAGATCCAGAGTATCAACATAATATGCAAATATCCAAATCTCCATGGGAAATTCCCAAAATCTGGAAGATCTCAAACTGAAAGAAAAAAAAACAATAGATGTCAACATCAATATGACAGACATTAGAATTATCTGATAAAGATTTTAAAACAGACACGACAAAAATATTTCAAGGAGCAATTATGAATATGCATGAAACAATGGAAAAAGCAGAGAGCCACAGCAAAGAAATAAAGTCTTAGCATAGAAATAGAATATATAAGGGAGAACAAAATGGAAATTTAAGAGTTAAAAAATACAAATTAAAAAAACTCAGTGGATGGCTCACTCGACAGCAAAATA